CATCTAACAACTCGGCTCTCCCCTCTGCCCAGCCACCCTTCCACCGGCACTGCCCACTGCCAGAACTACACTGTCCCTTCACCCCTCACCCTTAGCTCTCCCGCCGCCTGGGACCGACCTGTCTTGGTGACACCCCCTGACACAGCCGCCTCCGTGCCCCACCTTCCTAGCCCTCGCGGTGTGCAAGCGAAGTTCATGTGTCCGTTCATGTCGCTGCTGTGTGTCCTCCCCTCTGTCCTGGCAACTCCTCGGGGCAGGCTCTTGGCTTCTTTGCTGCCTGACACACCAGCGAAGGTTAGCACAGGGCCAGGGGTCCTGTCAGCCTGTCCTCTTGGCCTGGCCCCAAGCCACGCAGCCAGCACCAGGAGCAGCAAATAGTGCTCTGTGCCTCATTCCCATCTGGTCTCCACATCAGGCAGAACAGCCAATGGGAGGACGGGAGACCCCAAAACAAAGGATACAAACAACCCACGCGGTGCGGGGGGGGGGGGGGTGTTTACAAATGTTAAACAAAGGCCTGGAGAGGGGGTGTCCCTCCAGGGAGCGCACAGCCACCCAGCCTCCGAGTGCCATTTTTCCAACTCTTAAAGTAGCAAATGCATTAAAATGTTAGCAACTGCATGCCTGGGTGGCTCAGTCAGTGAAGCGTCTGCCTTTGGCTCAGGTCATGATCCCAGGGTCCTGGAATCGAGCCCCGCAGCGGGCTCCCTGCTCAGTGGGGAGTCTGTTCCTCCCTCTGCCCCTCCCTCGTCTCGCGCTCACGCTCTCAAATAAATAAATAAAATCTTTCAAAAATTTTAAAAAATAAAAAAGTAAAATGTTGGTGACTATGGTCAGTGAAGGGTAAGGAAACAGGCAGCTGTCATCCTACTGGCAACATGGTCACTCCGAAGACGAGACGGCTACTGAGAACAAGCCCATGAATACGGGACTCATCTCTGGCCCACTCGCCCCACACCCCACAGAATTTACCACAAAGGGACACAGAGCAGAAAAAAAATAATTTACTCCAAGCCTGGCGCTGATTCTCCTTTTTCCTTACACTGAGTGAAGAGACTCAGCAAAAACAAACAAACGTGGCTGGTGCACCCCCTCGCCCCAAAATCATCTAGTAAACTGGACTATTACACACTCAGCAGGATGACCAGGGAGATGAAGAGGGAAAAATGCTAGCAAATAATGCTGAGAAAGCAGAATGCAAATATTAGTTGGTAATAGGCACTATTTACGGACGCTCAGCTCTGAAGCAGATACTCTTCTCAGCAAATGATGGGTGCTCAGGGCATCCCGGTGTTTGGGTATGGAAACAGGCCCTGAGAGGCTCGAGACCCCCGGGGAAGCCTGGGAAACTGGGCAGCCAGGCTTCAGGGCATGCCCTCCGGGCCGGGACAGCACAGGCGGGCTGCAGTCCCCCCCACCCCAGACGGCCCTGCACACCCCGAACACAGACACACACTCATCCACCCAAATGGCAAGTGCCCGGAGGCAGAGGTACAGGGGTTCCGCTGTGCTCCAAACTGTCTTTACTACTTCGCTAAGTGATTAATTCTTCCGAACAGGCTTTGTGTGTTCTTAAGTACCAGAGGGCCTCGTAGAAAGAGCAGGAATGTGGGCCTGGCCTCACCGTCCTCTTGTGGGCACTTCGTGACAACAAGAATATACACCCAAAAAGCCCAGGACAACACCCCGTGCCACTTCAGAGGCACCCAGGAGGGGAAGGCTGCTTGGCAGAGGACTTGTCAGTCATGGCCAAGCACCGAGGATGAGCGCTGAGGCAGACCCCTGTACCCATGATGAAATGGAGCCAGGGAAGGCACCTGGCAGGGTGCGAGGGAAGGTTCCCTGCGTCACAGAGAAGAGTTGGGGCTCCTCTGCCAGGCTCCACGGGGTTTTTGAGTCAACCATCTCCCAGGTCAAAGCCCATGTGCTTCACGTCCTGGGATAGAATTCTCAATCTGGAGTTGGACAGCTCTTGGGACACCATTCTTGGGACACTCCAAGACTGAATGAGTTCCACCTCCCCAGCCAAAATTCACACGTGAAGCTCTAACCTTCAATGGGACTGTATTTGTAGGACTGTAAAGGTAGGACCTTTAAGGAGGTAATTAAGGCTAAATGAGGTCCTAAGGGTGGGGCTCTAATTCGGAAGGGCTGGGGTCCTCACAGAGGAAGAGACACCAGGAATGCAGAGGCAGACAGAAAAGGCCATCCGCAAGCCAAAGACAGCCGTCTCACCAGGAACCAGCACTGAAGTCACCTGGACCTCCAGCTTCCGGAACTACGAGAGAGAGAGACTGTTGCTCCGGCCGCCCGGCCTGTGGTACTTTGTCACAGCCACCCCAGCTGACACCCTGGACCCCCAGACAGGCTCGCTCTTCTTATTTCTCTGGGATGTCACAGGAGCAGAGACAGGATGAGGGGGACACACATCAAAACCACCTTCCACCCAAAATTTCTAAGAATCCAGATCTCTCATCTGGAACACACACAGGTGACACAGCGCTGTGTCCAGAAGGCTCGCTGAAATTGCCACCACCCCCTGCCCCAGGAAGCACACTGCCACCCCCCACAGAGTCCATCGATACGAAGAATCAAGGGTCAAGATGTGGGTGTGGTGACACATCTCAAGATTCAAGTCATAAACTCTGGGTAGGCCCCTACTTGGCAAAGATACCAAATAATAAAAGTGGACTGACATTTCTGGAAGATCATATGACTAAAGAGAAGACAAACAGCCGACATCTTGGCCATCGGCACGACAACGGATGACCGTAGTGCCGATGCCCAAGCAGGGCCAGCTGCTTCCTCGGGAAGCAGACAAAGCGGACCGCGGTCAGCTGGGAAGGAGAGGCCTCACCCCCGGGGAGCAGGCAGCCCGCCTGGAAGCGCATCACTGCATACCCGCCGGGGCACACAAAGGTGCCTGCACCCGAACAAGCGGCGAGGCCTGGTGCTCAAGCCCGCAGTCTCCAGGAGCTGTTCTTTACAAGACAAACGAAAGGAAGGCAAACCCGGTGTTGTCTGGAGCAGACACACCTCAGAGCCAGAATGAAGCCTCGGCCTTCTACACGAGGTAGAACCCACTCAGAGAGAGAGCCCTGCAGAGGCAGAAAGACGAGGCGTGAAGGAGCAGGGACTCAGACAAGAGGGATTCTGTCCCTTCTCAGTCCCTCTGGTTTCTTCCAGGAAAAAGATCTGAGTTTAGCACTACCATATCCCCAAACCCCTCGTGCTGCTGCTTAGTCACCTCTCCTTACAACAATGGGAGGGGGTCTCAGACAGAAGCTGGGCCAGGCAGGGACATCCAGGCCGACTCAACACTGGGTCCTCTCCAGCGTCTTTATTTTCAGTTACCTGCCATTTCCGTCAACTAACAGAGGCTCTCCACTCACTGTACTCAGGCGAAGTTCCCTTTTTCAGTGAAGGCATTCAGGTTTTCTTAAGTGTACCCATTAAAAAACACAAACACACATTACAGGGTAAGTACTAGTACAGCGGTAAATAAATAATGGAACTTTGGAAGCCAGTGACTTCAGTGTTCTCCTAGGCCCGTGTGCCCCATGTGTATAGACGCATAGATATCTGCTCGGCTGAACTCCAGCCTGAAGAGTGCCGTGATGAACCGCAAGCTTCCACTACACGGAGACAGACTGGTCGTTCCCATTGTGCCCACCCTACAGAGTCTGCTCACTTCCTTCTTCATTCCCGACTCAAAGAATGCCAGTTGGCTCCCAAACTCCGCTCTTGGGGGGGCTCGGCTCCCTAGCAGCCAGTGGAGGCCATGGGACTGATGCTGGCCACGCCGATGGGATACCGTGTGCATCTTCTAGGACGGGGCCTCATGACTGGGGGAGGGGGTCACCTGTTCTGTACCACAGACCCACTCTGCAGTCCGGTGAAGCCCAGGGGCCTCTTCTCAGAAAAATAGTTTAAAATACATAAAACACACAAGACTACAAAGGAAACGGATCATGTTGAAAAAGAACTCTCAAAATGTGAAAAAAGTGACATCGGAATACGTAGAATTCCTTATTATTACATTGAAAGCTATTACTACATTGAAAACTATTTTCCAGCACAAACAACATTCTGAGATGTTGTTCATTTCAGGCGCCTGTGACTTCCATCAGGGACAAAGTCACCCATTTTGCTAACACTGCTATGGTTTCTACGGTTTGCTGCTACTTTCATAATCGAAGGAAATGTAAATTTCAGGAAGAGGCTAGAGAAAAAAGTTGTAATTTCCTTCCCTATGCAAGTTCAGGCCCTGAATCCTACTTATGGAAATGGAGGAAGTCTCTCCTTTGCTCCTTCCTCCTTCTTGCTACCTGGGATGAGAATGGGATGGCTGGAGCTAAAACAGCCATTTTGGACCACGAGGCAAGATGGACGGAGTCCCAGTCTCAGATAAACATGGAGCCACACACCAGCCCCAGCCTGTCTACCTCTGGAAAGAGAGACGAACTTCTGTCTCCTTAAGCTACAGTTGGTTTACTCTCTATCATATAAAGCCACATGAACCTAATCTTGTTACATCTCTAATACTTTTTCTCAGTAATAAGGTTAGAAAGTGTTTGAACCTGATCTTTAGCAACCTTCATTATTCTTTGAGAGACACACTCTTCCTTCCTCACAAAAATGATCCCTCCAGAGCTACAAAGGAAATCCAACTAGCACAGTTCCTCTGTAGCTGACAGCCTTCCAGGAGGCAAACCCCCAAACCTGGATCAACAGAAGTTTCTCTCTCGCTCAGTGCTGCTCCATCTCTGAAGCATGTCCTTTACAGCATGCACACCCCCAAGCATCACGCATTAAGTGCAGCTCAGGAAGCTTGGAAGCACACACCACACTTCAATTCCATGCCAGGGCACACACACACCTGACTTTACCCCGCATTCCGTGAAGCCCGCGGTCACACAGGACCAAGTGCAAAGACACTCCACTGATGTGCAGGCCCGAGGGTCACTAGTATCCGGGGAGGACATTCAGAAAGTACTTACTCATTGTCATCGACTCTGGCACGGAGGCAGAAGGTAACAGGCTGCTCAGAGGGCTTCCCTGGCCAGGAGGACTGGCTTCCACACTGGGAGAAAGGCAGACAGAAGGAAGTTACAGTCGGCCACTCAAAATACACAACCTCACTATTCAAAAACCAAGCAGGTGCTAAGTGTACTCAGGTGCACCTCCTAGAAGCCCAGGAGGCAGCCCTTTGAAATCACAGGCAACCCTCGTCATGTGCAGATTCCCTATTTGCAAATTTGCCTTCTTGCCGAAGTCTATGTGTGTCCCCCAAAACCAATACTCAGTATTTGTCTAAAATAAACAGCAAAAAAAAGGACTGTGCATCCTGGAGGGACCTGGTGACCCCAGTCCTCCCTGACAGTGTATAAACTGTGCAGGAACCCAGAGGCGCGGTCAGTGTCAGAGAGCAGGGCCCTATGCGTAACATCAAGCATGCTTCGGGGTCATCAGTGACTCCCACCCTGGACCTAAGGCTGAAAATGCAGATGGGGTCTAACCCTACTCGCACGAAGAAAGAAAAACACCTGGAAGAGTAACGAGGATCCTGGTGGCACTGGGGAGACTTCAGTGTCTATCTGAGCTCCACCACCCAACATCCAGTGACTTTGAGCAACTCAAGTTTCCCTTTGAGAGACTTTTATTTGAAAAGCAGAAAACTGATATGGCACTTACGACCATATGCTAGACTAAGCACTTCTCAAATATGTGAGAGCTAAGTGGTTCAGATATTATATAATATTCAAGTCTGCATTATTGTGATCAAATGCTAAAATCAAGCATAATGGGAGAGGAGCACCCAGGTATGGCCCCCAAACCGTAAAAGTAAAGGTGGTATGCAACTGAAGTTTGCTAAATACCGTCTCTCACATTCTGATGCCCTTGGCAACTTCACATTCTATGATGTAAGCCAAACCTGAACATAAATGTGAAATAAGGCCTTGACCTTGAATCCCGGCAGGTGCACCCCTATCTTTAAAAGAGAATAAAATGCACAGTTGTGACCAGGACAACTCAATCCCAAAGGCAGTTTGGCTCCAGAATACTAACCTGTACCGGGGGCCGGGCTCTGGGAGAACGTGGTCCTCCAGTCCTGTCCCGTTCTCCAGGCTTCCAAGGGGGGCATCTGTGTATAGAGAGCAGTCACAGAAAGAAAGTCAGCTGTCTGTTCTCATTTCATGTTCTCCATGAGGCAAGGACACAGCGCAGACACGGGCTCATCTGCTCAATCAGTCGGCTTACAAATGTTTCCTCACCTGCACAATAGATTTTAATCTGCTACTCGTTTCGTTTTTTTGGCCATCATCTCAGATTTGGCATCAGTCACTGATAGGAGGCCCCATCCTCCCACTTAACCTTTTTGACCTTGAGCCACCTGGAATTGTGCATGAAGTCCATATTCAGAGCCAGCCTCAGGATCAGGGAATAATAATCAGCTTTCTGATAGACAAAACCCCTCTCCCTGTAGCGGCTTATGACAGACACAAGGGGGCAGCACAGTCTCATCACCAATAACGCCTGTCTGCATCAAAACCAAGTGCCCTGCCACTTTCTAGAAAGCCGCCTCCCCGCGCGGGTTGTGTGTGGGAAAGGCATTCAGAAGAAGGGAGGCCACAGATAATCTCTAGAGGCACTAAGGATTTTCATAAATGTATTAACTGCCATTCAGGTCTCTCCAGAAAAGAGTGCAAACGCCCTTGGGCTGGACAGTGCCATGACGGCCTGTTATCAGCCAGGGTAACACGCGCCCTTTGGAGACACTCCTGGCTTCTCAAGGCCGACTGCAGAACCAGGCCCAGGTGGGGGATACATCTCCGGGCCCTCAGCTCCGCGGCCGCCTCCCTGCCATCCCTCCTGTTTTCGCCTGAGTTTTCTCCTGCTTGAGATTCCCCAGCTCTTTAAGGGGCTGTACTCAGGGAAGCCTAAAGAGAATTTTCTCTTTTTTTCACTGTTTTCTTGATACTGCTGTCCTCATCAAGCTATTTCACTCGATTTTTTTTTTTTAAGAAGTTCGAAAGGGAAACAGCAAGTGTCTTCCCCCTCGGCGTCCCCTGCCTCCCTCCCGAGTGTTGTGGTTAGTTTACAGGTGCAGGCTCTGCCTCCATTATTAATTCGGCGCGAAGTTGCCTAGCCTCTTTGTGACTTGGCTTCCTCAACTATGAAGGGGTAACACCAGGGCCTGCCCTACGACACTTTATTAACACCAACCACATGACTGAACTCACGTTTTAACACACATGCTTCAGTGGGAACAGTCACTGCGTGCTAAGCGCAACTCGCTCCACAACCCAGCCCGCCTACCACAGCCCCATCATCACACACACTCGCACACGCACTCGCACACGCACACACTCGCACACACACACCACCCCATCGTCTTTTCTCTGATTCCTTTGTGAAGCTATCTCTTGCATCGCGGCTCAGAGGCCTCTGTCCCCCCCGGCAAACCCAACAAGGTCCTGGCCCCACCTCTGGCTGGGACCTCAACCCTGCATCCTCCTCCACGGAGCTCGCTGCCTGCCTGAAAGCTCCCACTGGGATACCCTGCAGGGCCCACCACCTGATCACAACCGAGCAAAGCACTCCCTTCTGTCACCCTGTCCACAGGACCACCGCCTCCCTCCCGTCACGGGGTCCTCCAGACCAGCCGGTTCCAATTCGTTATCAGCCACTCCTTATCCACAGTCATGTCCACTGCCACCCTAGTGGTGAGGCTCCATACCTTCTAGGGGTCTCCTGCAGGGGTTCCCCACAGTTGTCTCACCCTTGTTAATCCAACTCATGGCTGTTGGATTCCTCTCCCTGAAGCGAAAACAGGGACTCCAACATGCACAGCAGAAATCCACAGCTGGAGGAAAGGCCATGGTCACCCACCAGCATTCCAGATCCCAGGCCTACTCGGCCCCAGTGATATCCCACCATAACACGCCCCCGCGAGCCAGGACACCGCAGTGGGCCTGACGCGCTGGGGCCGCAGAGCGAGCACTCACACGGGCTAAGTCGCTCACCCTCGAGGTGCCCTCTGAGGTGCACACTACTATTACCTTAATTTTACCAGATGTGGAAACAGCCCTGGAGGATTTCAGTGATCCGTCCAAGATCGCAAGCTAACGTGTGAGGGTCTGAACCTCACTGTGCCCAGAGGCAGAGCGGAGTCCTTACCCACTTCATCGCCTCTCATACAGCTGATCTGAGCTACGTGCCTCTCCCTCTACGGGTCCTTGGACTCCCTGCCCTACCCCTGTGTCTATACCGTGTCCCCAACCGGATAGCATTTTTCCAACTGCCAGGTGGCCACTCCCTTCAGCATGGCCCATCCCCATGCACTCAGTCCACCCACCGCTCACTCGGTCCACCCACCGCTTACCCGCTCAGCAAATGACTCTTGAGCCCCACCACCCCCACCGTGGGCTGGCTCTGGCCAGGGTCACGGTCACACTGGAACCAAGAAGACACGGGCCTGCCCTCACAGACCTCAAAGACTAGCAGGGGGACAGGAATTACCAGATTACAAGCTGAGGTCAGGGCACTGGGGACACAGGAGGTTTCTGGCAGTGTGAACGTGAGGCCTGGCCTGCCGGGGGTAAGGGGCACAGGAGCAAGCCCTTTATGAGACAGCACCACTTGGGCTGCCTCCTGAAGGATGCACACAGAGGGCAGGAGGAGAGAGACTGGAAGTGGACACAGGCTGGTGTGGCTAGGGGCGTCGAGCTACAGAAAAATGGGAGGAGATCAGGCTGCGCACTGAGCTTGGGTCTGGGGGGCCACAGTGAGGATTCTGGATTTTATCCTCAGGGAGCTGGGAAGGTTTGGAGCAAGGGAATGATGCAATTTGATTTATGTTCTAAGAAATCACTCCAGTTGCTGTAAGAAGAATGGTCAGGGTGGGGGCAGGGGTAGAAGCAGGGAGAGATGTTGCTGTCCCTCATCCCCTCTTTGCCTGCAAAACTCCAGGCGGGGCGGGGAGAGTGTTTACCTCTGGATCCTCCCAGAGCCTAGCACGGTCTGGCACAGAGCACGACCACCCACTGGTTGTGTAAAGAAATCCATGAGCCCTGAGTGGCACACGACCCACATGAGTGGGGTGGAGTCCACACACCACGCAGGCTGGGTGGGCATCACAGTATCCTGACATTCCGAACAGTAACATTACCCTCTGGGAGCCACGCTCCCAGATCAACCATCTCAGATGGGAGCGGTGCTACAACACAGCCTCCGCAACCTCAACGGGCAACCCCAAAGACCCAACGGTAGGACAAGAAGTGGAAGAACATTAAGCCTGATGAGGAAATGAAAGTGCGAGGACCCAAGGCTCCAAATGAACAAACAAGCCCTCAGAAACTGACTCTGAATTTGCTCAAACCCAACACTAAAGCCAGGACCCTCGGTGAGAAGAGAAGCAATAACGTCTTCACGTGTGCAATGGGTAGAAGTGGGTGTTTTGTTTGCCTCCACTGAGTATCGCAGTGCAAAGAAACTTTCGGGCTTCTCTCTCCCTTGCAACTTCAAAGAGATGTCAGTAAACATGCTTTGCTGTTTGCAGGTAATAGACATGCCCAGAGGAGTGACTGTAGCTAATCCTCCACCTGGGTCTCGTGTGACCCTGGCCAGTATCTTCCTTCTCTGAGCCTCTAACCCCAGAAATGCAGCTCCAAAGCTGGGCCTCCAATCCACCTCATCCAAGAATCAGAAGGACAGTACCTCTATGTTGAGAGTCCCCTTCTCTGCCACTTTCTCCCCCCCCCCCCCCCTTTAGCTACCAAAAACATTCATCCTTCTCCACCAAGTGCCTCCCTCCCTCTTCTGCTAAATGCCCCCCAGGGCAGGGACGCTAGAGGCACCAACACTTTCAAAGATGATGGGGGAGGTCTCCTAAGGGTAGAGCCCTCTGTGTGCAAAGCTGTCATTAAAGACCAAAATGGCTCCCTGGCTAGAATGAGAGGGAATAATTTGTTAACCTTGATCAAGTGGGAGGGTATCGATCGGAAGGGACACCAGTCAGAGATGAGCAAAAGAAAAGCAGTCTGAGAGAGACAGGTAACAGTGTGCGCCCACAGCTTCCCAGGGAAAGGCCTCCCAAGGAAATGGGGATCAGGCCAGGAGGGACTCGAAGCAACCTGGCATTCCAATCAGGTAGCCGACTCCCTCAGTTCTGATTCCAGTATCTTCTGCAGCCTGAGCATAATTCATCTTCCTGTGCAACTCCTACCCACAGCGACTTTGCCCCTGAGGCTGTCGCAAGCTTCCAGGACTCCTGGCAGCTTTGTTACTATAGTACATTAAAAAGTTGGCAGACCGGCTCACACACAGCATCTCTGATGAGGATAATCAAGATCAGCTGGAGCTCGGGGTCCCACGAGAGCGACAAGATGAAGCCTCTGGGTCTGGAAGGCTGAGAGGCAGAGGTGGGACCGCGGGAAAGCTGCCAGGAGGACGCCCTCCCGCGAGGATGCTGGAGGCCGGCCAGAAGCTACTCTCCCTGAAGACAATGAAGGAAAGCCCACAGAGGGAGGAAGAGCGCTGAGTTCTGTAAGACCAGACCCAACAAATGGCAGAGAGCAGCACCCCAGGAGCAGCCGGCCCTTGGCCTCCAGGGTCTGACGGCTGAGAGGAGCCCAGCTAAGAAAGGAAGGAGCTACTGGAAACAAAACAGAGTGCCAAGTGCAGGCACCTGACAGCCCAGCGACCTCTGGCCCCCTCGGTGGGGAGGGAGACAAGGTCACCAGGTGGAAGTCATGTGGTCCCGGGGAGGCCAGGACCGCCTGCTCTCTCCAAGCCCCCCCCTTCTCAGGCACCCTGTCCACGTGTGCGTGCACTGCCCCTGAATGGGCCATGGCAAGTTAAACAACCCCCCCCCCCCCCCCACCCCGCCCCGCACTGGCCGCCAGGGCCCCGCATGGTCACCTGAGGGAACGCAGCTGCCGGTGCTGGCCTGGCTCACAGACCAGCCCGGCCCGGGACTTCAGTGGAGACCCAGGAAGAAGTGCCGGCCGGTATGGGAGGCCGCGCAGCTGAGGCCAGACAGGGATGGGGCAAGGTGGCGAGAGAGAGCAAAGCCTCTCAAAGGAAAAGAGGAGACGGGGCAGACCCCATAAGGAAGTGTGGGGCACAGAATCGGGGAGACCCAGGAGCGCCCTCCGTTCCGACCAGCGGCTCCCAGTCCCCGGACACCCCACAGCAGGGCCCCGCCACTGCCGCGGTGCTGAGAGCAGGCTTCACGGGGCCTGAGCCGCTGCCTGGCACCTTGGGGAGCCTTCACCACAAGTCTGAGAGGAAGGTGGGGTAACAGCGGCCAGCCCTTCCTCACAAGCTGTGGTCCAGAGAGGATGCGTTCGTCCGGATTAGCCACCTTCCAGGCCTGGGCTCACTCCGAGGGCTGCCACTACCACCATCAGCCGCACCTTCCAGAGAGGAGACGGGCCCGGAGGACTGAGTCATTTCGCCACACACGCTCAGGAGCCCCAGTCTCCGCCAGGAACACTGCCGCTCGGACAGGTGACCCGGCCTGCTCAGCTCCTGAGGCTCCTGGGGCCGGGCCATCTGACCCCTACTCGAGACGGCTGCCAGTCGGCCGCCCACCTGCCCCTGAGCTCCAGCTCCTTTGAGCGGGTTTCTGTCCGCCCCTGTGACCAAAAAAACAGTCTGTCATCCGGTTCAGACTGTCAACAGCTTCCTGAGTAGTCCAGAAACCGTTATGGTTTCTTAAACCTAGTCCTGGGAGGGGGAGAAGGTGCCTGTGTAGGGGCTGGGTTGGGGGGGACTGGGGTGACAGCCACCCACCGCCCTCTGGGCACACCCGGCTCATCCACGTCCCCTCCCCCCTCTCCCACCACCCCCTGTGACTTGCTCTAGCTCAAGAAAACAGTAACACGAGAGCACACTCAACCAAATGGAAGGAGTCAGAAACGCTCACCACCCCACAGGCAGGTTCTGAGCAAGCCACTCTCTGAGCCCTCAGCACTTGGCTGCAAAGGGTGCGGGGGCCTTTAGAGGTATGAGTTCTGTAACGTTTCTCCCTAAGACGCAAAATTAATGGTCACCACTTATGGTCAGCTTGTATGTGCCCAGGTCCCAAAAAATCACTAGTAAGGAAAACAAACTGGTATAGGGGCTCCTTCGTGACTTGTCAGCTGGTTTGGCCCAACCCTCGCTCGGGTGGGAGCACCTCAAACACTCGGGGTCAGCAAGAAGACAAGCCAGACCCTCAGTCCCTTCCAGTCTCCTGCCCTGAGCCCCGTGCCTCTTGGCTCCCTCCCACCAGCAGAGGGAACCCAGCACGTGAACGGAGGGAGGGAGGAATCAGGAAGCACCCACCTGCAGGGCTGTAGGAGGCCACTCCACTGACTGGAAAGAGGACGTCGGTGTCGCCATGTAGCACCTGCAGAGGGGCCCAGCTGTGCATCTGGGACAGGCGGGTGTTCCCATCCAGCGGCCTAAGTGAGAGAGGACAGCTGCGTGACAGACCGAAGAGCGTCCGAGGGCTCAGACCACCACAAGCATCTGCCGGGCCTCCCTCAAGTTCCCTCTTGGGAGCCAGCCAGACCGTGAAGGGGCTGAAGATAGGAGGCCCAGGCGGGGAGCAGGACCATGCGGTCCAGATCAGACCTCATGCCTTCATTCCTCCCGCCAGGGCTCACTGAGCACCTACTACAGGCCAGGCTCCGGGCTCACATATATTCTGTGCTGGCCAAAGAGCCAAACGGTGTTCATGCTGCCCTCAAGGAGCTCACAGTGGGCTGGGGGACCAGGACGTGAATCACACAACCCCGCAGGGAGATGTAAGACAGCAACTCAGAGTGGCAGAGCTGGTCAGCAAGGCCACGGAAAGCATCCGTGAAGAAGGGAGGTGAGAGGTGAGAGCTCAGGGTGAGTGCAGTGAGGAGGGGGACGGACAAGGAGGATGCAGCATGTGCCAAGCCCTGAAGCAGGACGAAGCCCAGGGTCCCAGGATCTGAAATGCTGTCAGCCACGCGACCTGGGGCTAGTGTCCCATCGCCTCGCTGGTTCTCAAACCCTCATTAGTAAAAGAGCAGAATCAGACCAAAACCGTGTCTGGATCCCTTCCAAGAAAGGGGGTCAGCTGAACCATTAACCGGGCTCACATGACCTGTTACGGCGACACCTCATCCACAAACTACAAAAGCAACCTGAACCATCTTTGTCGCACCCGCTCGTTCAGTTCAGTGTATTTGGGAAGGTTTTGCCCACTGCAGCATTTGCCGCTGGACAGTGGAAATATTAATAAATACTAGGCTGAAGTTGCAGGGGACGTTAAAGTTTATAAAATCACTCTGTAACTCAGGTGTCAAGAAGTCCAAAACAGATCACAGCCCTACCTACTTAACAGAGGAAGGACGGGGGGAGGAGGAGGAAAGGAAGAGGGGGGGAAAGGTAGACAAAAAGTCCAGGAGGATGTGACTTGTCCAAGTTCAGCATCCTGGACGGAACGGAGGCTTCAGGGTCTGAGGCCATGTCTTCCAAATCCAATTATGATGGGCTTTCTGAATGCTGCCCATCGTGTGGCATGACGCATGTAGTTTTTCTTTTGGTTCAGAGCAGGGATCAACACAATTTTTTTGTAAAGGACCAGACAGGAAACAGTGTAGGCTTTGTGGCCATAAGTATTCTTCTTTGTAGTTGTAGTTAACAGCCCTTTCAAAAAAGTAACGACCCTTCTTAGCTTGGGGGTGGATCTCGCCCATAGGCTACTTTGTCAGGCCTTTCAAGAGGCCACTTGGAGATTTTCCTTTCAGCCCTCTCTAGCTTTTGGTCAGATATTTGGCTCTGAGCTAGAAACGGGAAATAATCCTAACAGCATTTTGCAGAATCCATCATTTAATCCTGCAGGTCACACCCACAGTGAGCCCCTCAGGAGCCTGGGGTGGGGCAGCACAACCACACTGGGGCCAGGTTCTGGGGTGAACTCGGCTATGCCTCTAGAGTCAGTAGCGAGCCGCCCTCCTGGGGCTCAGATCCAGCAGCTGGTGACCAGGGGGACTCCCGGACACCTCGAGGCACTCAGGGCCGCCGCTCAGAAGGCAACAAAACCACCTGTCCTTTCCTGGGCCACTGCACCAGCTCCAGGCGGGTGGGATTTTCCACTGTTTATTCTAAGGGGAAATTTTGCCACTTCCCAGAAACGCAGAGCGCAGGTGAAGCCAGACCCCATCAGCTGAGGTTTTAGAACCCAAGCAAAAGTGCCCAAGGGCCACCACCCCCAAAACGATTTACACTGACGTGATTCCTAAGACAGAGACCAATCCCGAGCAGGGTTCCACAGTTGGCTTAATAATAACAGGTTTTGCTTTTCATTAGAAAAAAGAGACGCTTATTTTAAAACCTAGAAAATGCCAAAAAGAGGAGGGGGGCGGGAAATACACCAAAAGCCACACTACCAAAAACAAAACTGACTTAGACACTCTTGCCTTAGCCCTTCTTTCTTCCTACACATACTTTTCTTTAGGAGGTCGTAATGAAACTCAATGCAGGATTTAGTTTGCTTTTTTCACTCAATATTCATTCCTAAGTTCATCCTGACTACTGAGATACTCTTAAATGTCAGTGAAGATGTTCAAGATCCTACCGGGTCATGGATGGAACTGCTGAATTTCTATAGCGTACACCCGAAACTGGTAAAACACTGTTACCTGTACTGGAATTAAAATTAAAAACTTAATTAAAAAAAAAAAGATGTTTGAGACCTGAAACGTTAGGATGTTAAAGTGTAAGCTCCAGAGCAGTCGGCTATTAAGGGAGGTCAGCTCCAGAGTTCTGCTTCTAGAAAGGCGGACTTTGGTATCTAGACGCAGCCACGGTCCGTGGAGACTCTGTCCTCAGGGCACATTCCCAGCAGTGGAACTGCTGAATCAAGCGGGATAAACGTTTCTAAGGCTCCTGTCAGTTGTGTCAAACTGTCTTCCCCGAGGGCTGTCAGCACTCCCGGCCATCTGTGAGATCTGTGAGGACACCCCTGCGCACCAGCCCGGCCCCGTCATCCACCCCACAGTTGGCGCCGCCTGTGTGCCCGGAAGATACCACACAACAGGACACGCTGAGAGCAAGCCCTCCCCCAGGGTGCTAACCCAGGGCTTGCCTTTTATCCAGTTCTAAGTTGTGGCAAAATACGGTGTCTGATGGCATTCTCCATTTGTTTAATTGCTAGTGAGGTGTAATGTTTGTCCCTATGTTAGTAATTCTTTTTGAATTATGTTCCCTTCTGGTGTCCCTTCCCCACTGGTGTCAGAGGTCACACAGGAAGCGACAGAAAAACCCCTTTCTATAATAAAGACATCATCCTCTCTTAAGAGAAACAAAAACAAAATGCAAAGCAAACGCTGGTAAATATTGAGGCAGGAGGGACAAGATTTTTCCTCGGTCATCAAAGGTGGTTTAATTGCCAGCAAACAGAAACGTAAACCCAACTTTTTGCCAACAGAGCATTTCAGAGACAATTGGAACCCTGCCATGGCCGGAGGCTGTCACATCCACAGTGTGCTTCTCCTGGACGGGCCACCTGTCCCTCACAAACCTGGCGGTGCTGTTCAACTGCTCAGGTTCTGGCCCCTCCAGGCTCCTAGACCTTTCGTGTGAATATTAGCTTAGAATCAAAATGAAAGGATTACTCAGTAGGCCATGTCATCATTCCTCTGCTCCTCCCCAAGATGCTCTGCAGAACGTTAGATCGAGACCCCCCCCTTATGCCAGGGAGAGGCTGCCCATAATTCGCAGGAGGCCCAATGGCCTCGAAGGGCCCGGGCCCCTGAAGAGGTCACCCTGCACTGTTTTGTGTGTTACACATCACAATGCCCAAGGCGGCTACCCTGGCTCACAAGCTGGCCTCCCCCTCAGGCCTCCCTCAATGGCACAGTCCAGTAGGAAGAAATGACTGTGTCTGAGGCCAAACACAGAGGGAATCAACTCAGAGACGCGCTCACGCACAGATGCACAGAAACTCGGCTACAGGCCACGGTGGCGAGATAACCTGATCCAACGTTATTCACTTTTGGACGCGATGAACACTTCAGTCACTAGACTTTGAATAGATGAGATCACTCTCCCCGGTTCGGCTGGGCCTTATCAAATCAGCTGAAGGTCTTAACAGGAAAAGACGGAGGCCCCCCAAAGAACAAGAAACTCCGCCAGCAGCCGGCCTTTGGACTCAAGCTGCAACTCCTCCCTGGGTCTCCAGGCGCTGGTCTACCTTACAGATTCCAACCTGTCAAGGTTCCACAATCACGTGAGCCAGTTCGTTAAAATAAATCTAGACAGACAGATATGGATGGACAGACAGTAGTTCTGCCCTTTATCTACAGAGGATACGTTCCAAGGCCCCCAGTGGATTCCTAAAATCCCAAAACTGCACCTTATATTTATGCTGTGTTTTTCCTAACCATACACACCTATAAAAACATTTAATTTATAAATTGGGCACCTTAGAGATTAACAACAATAATAAAATAGGAGGGGTGGTGCAGTCAGTTAAACGCCCAACTCTTGGTTTCGACTGGAGTCACGCTCTCAGGGTTGTGGGATCGAGCCCCGTATCAGGTTCCCCACTCAGCATGGAGTCTGCTTAAGACTCTCTGCCCCTCCCACTTGTATTCTCTTTCTCTCTCTCAAACAAAATAAATAAAATAAAATAAACCTTTAAAATATAAATAAAATAGAAAAACTACAATGATCTGCAATAAAAGGTGACATGAATGTATATCATAAAATATACTGTACTGTAGTCACCCGTCTTGTGATGACAAATTGCCTATGTGATGATCAGACAGGGAGACTGAAGGACTCCATAAAAATCTCCTTTTTAGAGGGGGTGCTTGGGTGGCTCCAAGAAATAACACCTGGGTCCTCATCTTTGCTCTCACTGGTTGCTGGATGCCTGAGAGGTGACATACACCAGACCACTGTCATCAGTAAAAACCCTGAGACCCTTTCTGGGTCTCCCAGACACTCTGTACCTGCACCCCCTCTATGCCTCCAATCAACTCTGCTTTTACCTCCTGCTGGCTCACATTGGTTTTCTAACCTGCATGCAGCCAGGGACCCCTCAGCCGGTCCTGGGGGACCCCCTCGGCTGATCCTGTGGGACGCCCTCTAGGTCCTCGGTCCCAGCCTGCCAGCATCAATGAGATGAAGTGGGGTGAGTGATGTAGGCCAGGCTACTACCGACCTTGTGATGATCCATGAGGAGGAGGAGCATCCTCTTCAGGACCATGGTTGGCTACGGGTAACTAAGACCATGGAACAATAACCATGGACCCATGGATGAGGGGGATCCCCCCCTGCTGGTTCTGCTTCTGTGGAGATCCCGACTCACACAGCAGGTCACAACACGCGGGTCGCAGGTAGAAAACACTCACCCCGTGAGCCAGAGCAACGCTTCAGGGAAGCAACACTTCAGGGAAGTGACCCTGACCAACACGTCAGGAGCAGAAAAAAGCCTTGTGTGTGAAAGTATTCATTTCAGAATGGTTGATAACAAAAAAGCAAAAATGAGAACAAGAGCAAAAGCCATCAAGCTCAATACTGACCATGGGGGGCAACATCAACAAATCATGACGTGCTGATCTGTCAACTAACCAACGGTCCTAATAATGTAGAAATGCGGACTATCTGATAGGAAAAGCCTGGAAGCACAGCATAACCTACCCTGATCCCTGCTTTTCTCAGTGCTTGGACAAATCTCCGCTCTCTAAGGAACCCGTTCTTCCATCCATGAAGACGGGTCGATGCCCACTAAAACCTCCCGGGCAGCTCCTACTATCGCGACGGGTACACGCGGAGCCCGCCGGCCTGGCCTGCCACAGAAGATCAGTAAGGTCATCTGGTAGTACAGGTACCCGTGTGAATGAGGACGACAGCAGAAATCAGAAACAGGCATTGTCTCATGAGAAAGAAGGAGACTCCTATTAGAACACATGGGACATGAGAAGCTTAGGGCCAGAGACACTGAACCCCGCATCCCGCCGCGGGGTCTTGGGCTGGTTTGAAGCCGGCCTGAAGCCGGCCGTGACGGATGGCACCAGGCACTGCAAGGCACTGCAAGGCCCAAGCGAAGACATAGCCAGTTCATCTGGCATTCTGATAAGACCAAGCACAGGAATTCTTACAGAGCAGCAAGGGCAGCGGCTGACCTGGGCTCTTTCTTGCTGCCAAAGGCTGACGCACAGTAATCCCATTAACTCAACAATGACTCTGAAAAGCAGGTGCTGTTTTTCTCCCAGGTCTCCAGTGAGGTTCTGGGGGGTAAACTTGTCCAACCTAAGCCACATAGCTAGTAAGCAAGAACCCAGGCTGTCTTGACTCCAAGATCCACACTCTTAACTATGCTTTACTGCTTTCAGCCTTCTCGTGCATCAAGGCCCTTCCATAAACACGCATCTACTGCACTGCCACCGTTAAAGCAGCAAGACAGGCGAATTCCTGCTGTTCACACCCCAGTAGATAAACACAGAAACTGCTAGTGGGCAACTCTTTGCTAGAATAACCCTGCCTCTCTCTGGAGCTTCCTGTGCTAGGAACAAGGCAGAAATATAAGGAATATCCAACAAAAACAAAAACACATACATAAAGCAGGAATTTCAATGCACACACCTTGACACCAATCTTATAATAAGTACCTTCAAATATACTCCCTTCCCTTCTGTTCATTCTCAGAAGGACAGTAAGCTCATGCTCCTTCCTCCTCGACCAAGATCAGAAAAGGGAATGATGCACTACACACACAGAAACCGTGCGCTCGGATTTCACCCAATGCTGCAGAAAGAGGAAGCCGTTAATGCACCACCCTTCGTTAAAAGCTCAAGTGACACTTACTTCTCAGGCGACCCCGAGTGGCCCAGGCACTTCCTTCCCGACATGTTCCCGTACACATCATCCTCGTTGTCATCCACGTCTTCATCGTCGATGCTTTTCACATCGAGCTTCTGGTACCCAAATTCGCCATTCAAAGACAGAGAATCAATTTTCCATGAGCTGCTGCTCTGACTTCCGTTGGAATTTGGCCCAAAGGGGCTTTCAAAGGCCGACATGATATTGATGGAGGAGCGGTCGGAGTTCTCCTCTGAGCTCTCCCCTGCCCCGGGGATCTTTTTAAAAACATCGCCAGAGTTCTGCTCCTCTTCCTCATCATCAAAAGAGATAATGTTGGTCACCTTCTTTTTCTTCTTCCGCTCCTTTTTACATCTGGCATCTGGCAAAAGAAGATACGGTGTTAGAAGAAGCGGCAGGCAAGATGAAGCCATGATTGAGCCATTTTACCTCTAGATTGTGGAAAATCCTCCACTATTCTTCGGAAAAATAAACAATATAAATTCAGATTTTTTTTTTTTAATCCTTGGGGTATAAAAAAAATCTATCTATAGCAGCCCCACGAGGGAGCCCGGATGAAATAAGCAGAGCCATCTTGCCAACCCAGAGGCTGGTAAAAAAAAAAAACAATAAATCGTGGCTGTTTCAAGCCACTACATTTTGGAGCTGTTTGTTACACAGTCAAGACTAACTGAAACAAAAGTCAAGGCTGCTTGGTGACCAGTATGTTCACCCATCTTAATCGTCAAACTTGGGTGTGAGACACTTTGAGCTGATTCCAGACATTCCATTCCATCCAAGCCAAGCTGTGACAGGGTGATGCTTCACCAGTTTATCAAACTCTGAGACAGTGTCAAAAGCAGTGAAAAGGACACTCCTTGGGTATACAAATTCCAGCATCTTTGTTACACAAAGCCCTCAACAGTTCTCTTTCCTGTGTGCTTCGCCTGGGGTCTCTACTGGAGAAGGAGAGGACAAGACAGATAAAGCCAGCATATATCAAAGACCCCACAACACTCTGAATTTTCACTGTCACTAATAATACCAAAGAGATGACCATGATTACTGCCTTGTTAAAAGGATTTGAGAATACTAGCACTACGTACTTAATCCCAAAATTTCCACTTTTGCTGTAGCAACATTCTGGATGTTCCAGAAGGCTCAAGGCATATTACAAAGTTCTCACAAAATGGATCTCAACTAAATCAACTTTTTTTGGCCTCCCCAGCCTAGGGAGTCAAAGCTGACAACTCCTCCCTTCCCCTTGGCCTCCACTTAAATGTCACTCCCCCCAAGAGTGCACATTCTTCATAGCACCCCATGCTTGGCTTGCATCTCATTTATCAGAAGGATAATTACTTACTTGTATAATTTGTCATTAAATATCTATTCTTACCCAACCCAAAAGAGACTGCAGGCTAAATGCTAGAGATCTTCGTAGTTCACTGCCTAGCACACAGAATGCAGTAAATGAATACATGAATGAATGGATGAAGGAATAAATGAATGAAGATGAAGCTCATCTGGCTTCATGTAACCAACATACCCTCACAGTCATTGTGCTGTGAGTGAGCTGAGTGCGCTCCAACCCTATCGTCTTCACATCTCAGCAAGGCTCTCAGTCCCTCTCAGAGTGAGTAAGGGGGAGAAAAATAACCACAAGTGCAAACTGAAAACACAAGTGCATGAGATTTCCCTTGGCACTTTCGGACCACGAGGTGTGTCCCCCCTCAGCCATGGTCAGCTGTCCTTTGACCCAACCCCACTGTTCAAACTCCCATGCCCATTCTCGCTCACCAGCGCTGACATGCTTGGACACGACGGGCAGGGGGTCAGTGTCCTGCTCAGGTTTGATGAGGATAGAGACGGCGGATGATGCTGTGATCTCCCTGAAAAGGCTGCTCACTCCCTGCGTGGATTCCTTCAGCAGGGACGTCACATTCTGCGTGGACTCCTTTAAGAGGTCTGAGACGGTAGGAACAAACTTACTCTGCCCATTCAAATCCTTGTTGTCGATGTTGATTGCAAAGAGGATGGAGTTCAGACCTGCCCAGAAAAGGGAAAAGTCTGGAGTGTCTGCCATGGGGAAGTCACATCTCCAACACGGTAACTGAGGGGCAAACGATAGAGTACACAAGAGGGAACGCCCTGATTTGAAGCACTGATTTAAAAACCTCCCACAAGGGGCGCCTGGGTGGCTCAGTCAGTTAAGCGTCTGCCTTCGGCTCAGGTCATGATCCCGGGGTCCTGGGATCGAACCCCGCATCGGGCTCCCTGCTCCACGGGAAGCCTGCTTCTCCCTCTTCCACTCCCCCTGCTTGTGTTCCTGCTCTCGCTGTGTCTCTCTCTGTCAAATAAATAAATAAATCTTTAAAAAATAAATAAAATAAAATAAAATAAAATAAAATAAAATAAAATAAAATAAAAACCTCCCACAAAATGGGGTCAGGAGACACCAGTTATCATAGCAGATGAGTCTTTCCCAATTCTCTCCCTCTCGGTCAAAGACAAATAAGAGGTCAACCCCAGGGAGGTTAAGATGTAAGTCTAACTGCCTGGGTTGGATACCAGCACTGCCGCTTTCCAGGAGACCTGGGTCAAGTCATGTACAACCTGAGCTTCTGTTTCCTTACCTGTAAAATGGGGACGAGAGTATCTCTTTCACAGGGTATTAAAAACAATCACCCACCAAAACCACTCAGTTCAGTAAGCAATCAAACATGTGCATCAATATTATAACTATTATTATTTCAGGCAAAAGCTTGCCTTGGCCTACACAGGACATCACAGTCAAAGCCTGACTTTTCCTCATCAATGGACAAGACGAACGTAACTCTCAATATGTGGGACTTAGTGTAAACCTTCAGGGAAAAAAAAAGGCAAGGGAGGATTTGAAAGAAAGAATCAAGTTACCCACTTCTGTTGGGCTCACTCTTTGAGTGAGAGTCAAACGATAAACAACCTAACAATTCACCAACTGACATCAATCCAGGGGCTTCCACACTGACAAATCGTGGACATGACTCTTAACCACACTTGATTCTCTCACAGCCCTATGAAAGCAATTCCCATGCTCTCAGGATCCCTACCATGCAGAGGACGGAAATAAGGGTGACAGAATTCACAGGACCTGCCCCAGGTCACCAGCCAGGAAAAGGTAGAGCCAGGTTTCAAAGCCAGGTCTCCTGCTTCCAACTCCCCAGGTCTTGCAAAGTCACAGCCAAAACTCCCAACCCTATGCTTTCCCTGCCATGGTATCCAATTCAAGATAAATGGACTCGGTGACCAATGCTACTAAAGGAAGGACAGTGACAAGTGACTCATTAAGTCGGGGAGGGACACGGAAAATCACAGCCTCTCCTGGAGTGATAAATTCCCTCCCAGGCAGCCGACTCTGCTCACCAAGCTTTAAGGACCCATCACTCCTGGCCTGGGCCAGGCTTACCAGCTGCCATGGTAGGAAGCATGCTAGACCTTTCTTCATCCATCACAAAAGACCAGTCTTCATAAAAAGTGCTGCAAATTGAAAGAGAAAGGGAAGAAGTTCTGAACAAGTGATTTTCTGCATCCATTGGCCAGATAACTCTCTTACATGGCTCCCTGGAAAATCTGTGCCTGGTCATCCCAGAGTGGCTACCCAAGGTCTCTGCCCAGCCGAAGCTTCCGGTTAATAAACAAAGGACTGAATGTATATATCCTACGACTTCTTCATTGGTCCCCTGAGCTTGAGGGTACTGAAATAGGCATGAGATGTAAACGCAGTTATTTATGAAGCAGCAAAGGAGAAGGGGACAAAGAGAGGGGTGGCATACAGTCAAGCAAGGTCTCTGAGACGCAGGCAGGAAATCTGAGCTGGCCCCCTGCGTGCCATGACTGGGCTACCAAAGAGAGAGTTATAGAAGGAAATGACAGAGTTCCATGGCTCCATCAGCCAGAGCCTTTGTACATAATACTTGCTTGGGCTGCAGACCCAAAAGCCCAAGTTACCCCTGGAAAGGGCTGGGAAGCTAAAAGGGACCCACGAATCTCAGCGGCAGTAGAAAGAAAGGGGTCAACAAGATCTACAGGGTTAGTCCCAGCTTGTCCGGCGATGATGGTACGGCCAGGGCCCTGGAGCTGGTGCCCCAGTCCAGCTCCCCAGCTCTGTACCCGAGGCCCGCTAAGCAGTAGCAAGCAAGTATCTTCAACCCCTGACTTCCCTACCAGGCTGGAGAACTCTCAATTAATGGAGTCAAAGCTCACATCGCTAAAGCACAGTCAGTGGTAAGGGACCTGCAGTGCAGCAGGAGATGGGACACCCTGGCTGCGGAAGTGACTTAATGCAAACGACGGAACAAAGGAACGCCCACCATCCGATAAGCTTACCCAGCAGAGTGTCGGCCTAAGCGCAAACTACACGCTCGAGCTGGCACTGCCACTGTACCTCCAATTCCCCAGACTGCGACGCTTTAAAAGTTGGAGCCAGTTTCCACGCACGTGAATGAATCTGGTGTGCCCACATCTAGTTAGTAAGTGGCTAGTGATTCGGGTAAGTTCAACTGTGAACCGTTAACACCTGGATTCACTTCGACCTTGATACGGAGTTGTACAACTCTGAACTACTTCCAAATGATCTGCTGGGAAGAGCTTCATGAAAATTCATTGTAGGGGCACCTGGGTGGCTCCGTCGGTGAAGCATCTGCCTTCGGCTCAGGTCATGATCCCAGGGTCCTGGGATCGAGCCCCACGTCGGGCTCCCTGCTCAGTGGGGAGTCTGCTTCTCCCTCTCCCTCTGCAGCTTCCCCTGCTTGTGCTCTCTCTCCGCCCCCCCATTCAAATAAATAAATAAAATCTTTAAAAAAAAAAAAAAAAAGAAGGAAATTCACTGTAAGAAACAGGAGTATGTTCTCCTCAACTAAAACTGTCTAATGCTTGGGGGGTACACCCAGACGTCCACAGCCTCGGGGCTCAGACCTAAGCAGCACACGGGTGCAGTGAGCACAGTAGTCCTGGCCCCCACGCCTTCCATCTCAGACCCATAGTCTGAGCATACAGCCGGACTCGGCACCACAGGCACGATCAATGGGAGAACTTCAGGAGTATTTGTCTGAGCCTTCGTGCACAATCCAGAACCCCTAACAAGTTGCTGGTAGACAGGTGACCACGAGCAGCACAAAAAACAGAAGAGGAGACAAGCCAGGGAATGCATGGCAGCATATAAAATCATGGGAACGCTTCAGGGCACAAATGAAATGCCAGCTTACTGAATTAAATGAGATTAATTCACTGAAATTGAACCCTCGCTATTTAGGAGCTGGGCACTGCTAATGTGGAAGCTACTCAAGGAACCCGCACAGGACTGATCACGGTCCCTGTGCACCATCAGGTGACACAAAGTGACATGCCTAGTCTACCGTTCTCAGACATAAGTAATAGGCACCAACAGAGTCATTGTTAACATGAGTATAGGACAATGACAGCACTGTCACATGTTTCTGAAAGGAATGTGGCTGACATTAGTACGGTTGAGGCATATGCAGTGCCCTCCTCCCAGAGCTATGCGACAGCCACACACCCCCACCTTGCTGAGCTAGGCTGTGGCCACGTGACTCGCTGGCCAATGAAATGTGGGTGGAAGTGAAGTATCTCTCTGGGCAGAAGCTTCAAAAGCCAGTGCTCAGTTCAACCACATCCCCTTTTCCTACCTTAGCCATCATGGGAGCCTCTTGTCAGCCCGGGACCCTGAGACGGGGAACCCCGACTCATCCATGATAGACACGTGTCCAGGGGAAGAAGTAAACGTGGCTGTCTCGAGCCACCGAGGGTTTTATGCTGTTTGTTACAGCAGCATAAACTGACCTATACTGATAGAGTGAGCTGTATGTTTACGATCAAGAAAAAAAAAGGGAAACATCATAAAATAGTTTTTTTTCTTTTTAAATAACAATTGACTTCCCTTCCCAGCACAAAGCTTCTCTATTCCTTTCAGTCAGTTTGGGATTGATTAACCTTAAAAAAATAGAAGGAGTTGTAAGGAACCTAACACAAACACAAAACTGAGCACTAAACACCCAATTTCTACTGAGAAAGAAACTCTAGATCTGAAAGGAGCCCAAATTAAAATTTCACCAAGTGAAGAGCAGGCTGTACCCTGGGACAAAAGCTCTCTCCACATCCCACACCTAAATAATAAGCATTTACGGAGTACCTGCTGTATGCAGGTGCCATACTGAGCCCTTTACAAGCATTCATTCTCTCGTTTATTCTCTAACCATCTGTGCCCCAAGCACAGCTGAATACATGGGGACTATAAAAGGGGAACCCGCATGCCTCCTCAACAAGGAGACTGGGACACAAACCCAGGCAGTCAGATGCTGCGATTCTAGCCAGCCAGCTACGCCTCCCCCAGAAGGCCATCCCCAGTACCTGAGCCTGCTGCGGTCAGCCAGGAGCATGTGCAGGTAGCGCTCCAGGGAGTGTTCGTTGAGGGCACAGCGCAGCCAGGCCCGGCCGCGGCCCACGTCCGAGGCAATGTGGCGCAGGGAGTAGAAGCGTGGCAGCTCGTGCTTGCTGAGGACCTCCTTCACGTAGAACCAGAACACAGGCTCTGCAGAGAGAGGGACGGGCACGATGGCACTCAGCCTGGGACACGCATCATTTTAGAGTAATAGTCCCTAGGCATTTTTCAGGATCGTAAGAGTTACTTCCTTAGCACAGAAAAGGAAGACACTGAAGAGTACAATTTCACATCCGGGTTTGTTTCTTGTCTAGATCATGAATATTTTGCTGTAATGTTTAAAGATCTTTGAAAACGTGGGGGCGCCTGGGTGCCTCAGTCAGTTCAGCGTCTGCCTTCAGCTCAGGTCATGATCCCAGAGTCCTGGGATGGAGCCCCGAGTCAGGCCCTGCTCAGGGGGAGTCTACTTCTCCCTCTGCCCTCCCCCACCCCACCCCCAGCCCCCACTCATGCTCTCTCGCTCTTGCTCTATCTCAAATAAATAAAATCTTTTTCAAATTTTTTAAAAAAATAAAGATCTTTGAAAACATGACTTTTGATGGCTTCCCAATGAAACGTATTTAACCTCTGGGAACGTGATATATTGCCAATCTTCCCTACATACTGCTTTGAACCTCCTTGTCCATAACTGTCCTCATTTCTAGCTCCTTAGAAAGGATTTCCATATGTCTGAGAATAGGAACAGATTTAAGGCTTTAAGTGAAAGCTTAAAAAGTTTTTTTTATCCACAAGGTAGTTATTGAATCTCCTCACATCCTACCTTTTTCATCCACACGCAGAGATTTTTTCATAATTTTCATTCTAGTATATACCTCATTTTGTGATCCATTGTCTTCACGTATGCTCATCAAACCTCTTCCGTGCTGCCAATAATAACCAGCAACACCAGCAAGCGCTGCTACTGTGTGCAAAGCAGTAGCAAAGTACCCGCCACTGCACTCAAGACTTGACATCTGACCTCAGTCCTCGTAAGCACCAAGGCCATCTCCACATCAAAGACGAGGGCAGAGGCCTGGCCAAGCCGGTAACTTGACCCAGTGGTATGCAGTTAGTAAGCTGTAGGGCAGAATGGGACCTCGGGGCTGCCTGACTGCAAAGCACTAACTCAGGCAGCCTTGTGTGGTGACAGACAGCTCTACCCTCTTCAAGAGGATCATGTTCACAACTGCTTAATATCCCAAGGGAGACACAGCTGAGTCTTTGCTGCCAGATGGGGATTCTAAGCCAGGAGCTCAAAAGGCTCATAGACGCCTCTGAGAGACAGGATCTTTCAAGATTCCTTCTAAAGAATGTAAACACACACATCTCCATAAACTGGACACCGGGTTAGCAAATTCACTCGAATAATTCAGTTCAGCTCACTTAGCATGGACTGCATTCTTAATGGAAGCCATGGACTGGGCAAGGCTGTGAGCTACCAGGTAGACAATAAGGATTCATCCCTAACGAAGCTTCCAGCCTAGCAGGCTGGACGATGGTGAAGAGATCAATCAAGAGAATGACCCTGGTGACTCACCCAGTCATGCTACACTTCCGATTCCTCTCCCTTCAAATAAGCCCCAAGTACAGAAGCACCCAGAGATCCTGGGGTGACTGAAGAAAAGGGAAGGAGAGCCCGAGCACGATGGCCAGGCCATGATGACCAACCGCCATCTACCTAATGACAACCTTCTCAAACGAGAGCAACTGTGTTGTTTCCTCTTCTCCTCTTCCTGTTAACAGCAACTAAATGCATACATACGCGTATCTGTGGATCAAGCCGGCCTCTGGGATCAGTTTAAATAAACAGCTCAGGAATGACTGGAAAAACCAACACAGCAGCTCACTCAGGACTCCCTTCTGTCTCAATCCCTAAATGCCACACAAATCCCCTTCCCAAACCCAGGAGATCAGCCCAGACCACACAAATGTGTAACGGCCTTTCTTTCACTCAGTGCTTTTCTCACAAACCAGGACGGGGGTAATGGTGAAAGCGATATCCAGGGCCGGCAGGCCAATAACTTGTTTCAAAACACGCCAAACAACCATCTGTATCTCTGTCATGACTCAAATCAGGTGACTCTCACCTGCATCTGGTCTTTCTGGAGAACTGCTGTGACCTCCCTCTGACCTTGAACGCACATGAAACACTTGATGTGTGTTTCACCTTTCAATTTCCCAAATTGCTTAGTGCTACAGAATCCTTCCCCAGCCTGCCAAAGTGACGCAGCAAGGGTGAGAATTACCCAGCAGGGGTCCACTTCCACTGCCAGCATTAATGTGGTCTATCTCAAGTGCAGCTCAGCTGCCACTTAACGCTTGCAGCGTCCATAATTTAATTTGGGGCAATACACTGATCTCTTGCTGCATGAAACCAGAGCCTCATTCCAGAAGTGGGTGAGGGCTTCTGGTTCTCCAGATGCCTGAACGCCATTTGCCCACATGTACAAGAGCCTTGAAGGGGCTGTTGATGCAAACCACCTCCGAGGGCACTTGTTAACAGAGGGGAGCTAACACCACAGGCCCTCTGGCAAAGTTTCTAACAGGCCTCACTCGACTATAAGAGATGCCTAGATACTCTGGAGGACAAAAACCCTGAGGAGACATTCTCATCTGGGTCCCTGTGAGGCTGCCTTCAGCACCACAAACCTGTCCTCCCGCAGGGCTGGACAGGTAAGCTGGACTGGGCAATCACCTAGCCGAGCCAGGGGGTGTGCCGCAATTGGCCTCCCTCACCCCACCTTCCCGCCTGACCCTGTTTATTATTTTGAGCATCATGATTTTTTTTCTGTATTAATCTGACTTTTTAAAAATACTGCATGAAAATGTTAGGCTCCCGATTGCTGAGTTTTTTGGTGCTCCTGTAAATTCTGTGGCTGCAGTGAGGGCCTCGCTGGTCTCACCCTAGTCCCAGCCCTGGACCACAGGGTTCCCCCACAACTTCTACCTAAACCACCAGAGGAGAGACCTTGGCTCCCTCGAGAACCGAAGTCAGCAAACAATGGTCTAAGGGCCAAACTTTGGCCCACGACTTGTCTTTGTAAGTGAAGTTTTATTGGAAGAGTCATGCCCTTTGTACACATACCGCCTGTGGCTGGTTTCCTGCTATAGAGTGATCACTGGGAAGTTGCTACAGGTATCTGTGGCCCACAGAGCCCAAAATACTTACTATCTGATCCCTTAAGGAGGAAGTTTGCCATCTACTGTTCTAGAAGTAGGAGCTCTGATAATCACATAAACCTGGAGCCACTCGGCCCTTTTCCTCCCTTTCCTGTGGAGTACACCCACCTGGGAAAGACACCCACCCAGACAGAAGCAGGGCTGAGAGATAGAGACCAATGTGGGGGATGTGGAGCCCCTAAACCCAGTTCACCCTCCAGTTTTCTTAGTTACTTGAGTTAGTAAGTGCCCTTTGTTTGCTGAAGTCTAAGTGACTTGCTGTCACCTGCGACCAGAAGCCTGATGCAGTGTGATAGGGTGCATTCCTTAGTCATCTGACATTTATGGAGGAGGGGAAACACTCCAGGCACTGAGCAGTGCCTCTGAGCATCCAAGTGGCAAATGCATCCCTCAGAAAGAAATAAAAACAAGAAACTTTGTTTCTTGTAAACAAAGAAAGGCTTCTTTTTCTCACAGACTTAGTCTGGAGGTAGACAGCTGGTTCAAAGGCACTGTTATGGGCAGAATTTCCAACCGCTTGACCTTCACCACCCCCCTTGCCCCGGTTCCAGAGGACTGCGACCACCCTGGGTATCATAGCCACAATCAAGAAGAAAGAGGACAAGATAAAACCAGCTCTATCACCCCTTTTTTTCAGGCAAGGGTAAGCCCAGAAAACCAAGAGGAACAGAGATATAAAATGTCAAGATTGACTTAATCACTCATGATCTATTACCTAGAGGACAACCCGCGGCCCTGAGCAAAATCAAGGTTCTGTTAAGCCAAAGAAGAAACGGGGAATGGATTTTAAGTAAAACACTAACAGAATCACCCATCCATGCTATCAAAGAGTCCAGGAACAAAAGGCCATCAAGTGCTCCCTTATTCCAGCCTCAGACTTAGGGGAGCACAAGTGCCCCCCAAATCCCAGTCACATCCAAATCTGGATGAGCCTGACTACAAGACACAAATGGATCAGCAAAGCAGAGTTCCCAAGAAGGGGCTGTAGCTTCGTCACCTGGCCCTCTCCCAACCAGCCACAGGACTGCCTCCTGAAACCAGAAGACAGGAAGCGTGGTTTAATAAAGACTTGTAAAAAGTCTGTAAACTTGACACTTTTTTTTTTTGCTTTCTAAAATTTGTGGTAAAATATACATAATAAAATTTACCACTCTAACCATTTTTCAGTGCATAATTCAGTAGCATTAAGTACATTCACAATGTTGAGCAACCATCACCACCACCCATTTCTAGAACTTTTCCATCATCCCAAACAGAAACTCCATACCCAGGAAACGATAACTCCCCCATTCTCCCCTCCTCCCCAGCCCCCAGGGGTCTCTATTCCATTTTCTGTCTCTGTGAATTTGACTATTCTAGATACTTCATATAAGTCGAATAGTACAATATGGGACCTTTTTATCTGGCCACTTTCACTTAGCAGAATGTTTTCAAGGATCATCCACGCCCTAGTATTTATCAGTACTTCATTTCTTTCTATGGCTGAATAATATCCTACTGTGTGTATATACCACATTTTGTTCATTCATCTGTCAACAGACATTTGGGTTTTTCCATCATCTGGCTCTTGTGAATAATGCTTCTAGGAACATTCATATACAAGTGTGTTTGAGTCCCTGCTTTCAATTCTTCTGGTCTGTATTTAGGAGTGGAATTGCTGGATCAGACAGTAATTCTAGGTTTACCTTTCTGAGGAACCACCAAACTCCTGTCAATGGTGGTTATGCCATTTTACATCGATGCATTTTTTTTTTTTGAGGTAGGATTGCCTTTATTTCTCTGCAGTTAAAATTAACTCTGCTATTAAATTCCCTTTCAGTTAGAAAAAAACTTAAACTTGCCAAGTGAAGGTAACTTAGCCCCTTCCAGGTTTAATTTTTTAATTGTGGTAAATTTCACTTAACATAAAATCCACCATTTTAAAGTTTATA